AACTACACGCCCCTCCTACAAACTAACATGCACTAAGCATTCGTAACAGTCAAACCTAAAATTATTTAAGATATGTCAGTTTAACTCTGCACACCAGTCGGAAAACTTACTATAATACGCAATCAACAACTTACAATCGCGTTATTTCTGTAATTGATCCTCGTGAGTGAAGGTTGCTCATCATGAGGTCTCCGACAGCGACGAGTGAATCCAACGCCGACGAGAATTTACTGATGGATGGTAGTGCTCCTTCGGAGTCGTCTTCTGTCAAGGAAAGCTGTATAGGCCTACCGCCAGGACATTTGTGTTGTTTATCGGAAGGGTGAGGTTCTGAACGCTTGTTTATCTGTTAACATCGTGCTCTGATTATCGTGTGAGCTATCGATATAGATTATTTAACTGTGTTTCTAGCTTCGCATAAGTGGATTACATCGTTATTTATGTGATATTGTGTTTGTGTTAGGCTGCCGCGCGGTTAGCCCTAACTAGTGCTGAAATGGCCGATGCGGAGTTTTCGCCGTTACCAGCTAAGGATACTAAAAGTGTGTTATGTGAATTAATACCTGGAATTACGGAGGATATATGTGTGTTTGCGGACAATATTCTTGATTCGAACTGGAGTGAACTCCAGCGAAAAGAGACTTATAGGCTTCAGGAGTACCTTAATGCGTTACAACAGATCCATACTTTGGAGATCGCTGTTAAAACAAGCGAGCTTAATGCCATGCGGAGTATTCCTCGTGCAACTTCCGAAGAGGAAAAATTAGTGCATAGGAATGATATCAAGACTCTTAAAGGCATTACTGAAGGATTGATGCAGTTATATAAAGGTAAGTGTGCCTCTTTTGGTGCCAATAATCCTACTTGTATAAACTCTGCTATTGCAAAACTTAGTAATACTGTATCGTTAAATAATGGTGTTAGTAATTCTGATTGTCAGGTTATGTCTGATAATTGTGAAAGTAATAATCATGTAAATAATGAAAATGTTTCTGATAATGCATGTTGTTCTACTGATAGTTCTGATGTTATTAAACCTAGTAAAGTTAAGAATGTAAATGCTAGTGCTAGCGTACCACGGCCTAAGCGGCCCTCTAAGAAATCTAAACGTATTTCAGAAGAGCTACAGGACGCCGATGGCTTCATTCAGCCGCGTAATGCGGCCAGGCCATCAAAAATTGTTAAATGTAATAGCGAGGTGCCTGTTAATAACAAATTTGATAAATTAAGTGAGAATAATAGTAATGTTAATAATGTGAATGTCAATACAGATGGTAATAATATGGAAGTAGCTGATGAGGATGAAATCGTAGAAATAGTGCAGCCGAAAGTTAAACCGATAATGATTAAGCCGGCTATTAAATTCTCTGACTTCCTTAAGAAACTCAGAGATGATACTAAGTTAGAATTTGCAGGGAAAGTCAACGGGGAAATTTTTAAAAGTATTTCCCAAGTCAGAGACGGATCATAGATCCATAACTAGATATTTAGAGGATAATAGTGTTGATCACTATATAATTACTAGAAAAACTGAGAGGCCAGTTAAAGTAGTCATAAGAGGACTGCCAATAGATTGTCCCCCTGAGGACATTTTTGAAGAATTAGAGCATATGAAGTACAAACCACGAAAAGTGGTTCAAATGAGAAAAACTAGATCTAGGGCCCCGATGCCGTTATTTCAGGCTCACCTCGATAACATACCAGGGGTGCAAAGCATTTATGATGTAAATAAAATATTATGTTTTTATGTAGAAGTACATCCATACAAGGTGCGTGGAGGTGTTGTGCAGTGTCACAACTGCCAACACTTCCACCACTCTAGTGAGAATTGCAAATTGCAGCCCCGCTGCGTAAAATGCGCGGGTGCACATAAAACTACAATGTGTAATGTTAAAAAATTAGAAACGCCAGTTTGCTGTAATTGTTTACAATCAGGGCACACGGCAAATTACCGTGGTTGTCCTAAATTTTCAGTACGACGCACGGCTGGCGTTAAGTCAGCTAGTACAAGTAATGTTAAAAATGCTGATGTCAAGGCACCCAGTGCGCCTCATTCTGCTATGGTGGCCCCCGGCCGAAGCTACGCCAGTGTGGCCAAAGGTTCAACTGTTAATCCTGCTGCGGCTTCCGTAGCAAAACAAGATGTTGTAAAAAATGTAAATAGTGTTAATCATGTTAGTACTAGGACTGTAAATAACAACAGGACTGATGTGGCTGCAAGTAGCAGCAATGTTAATGCTTTTACGGATATTTTTAAAGTGTTTAAAGAAATTTTTGACATGTTCAAAGGAACTTCCTTTGTTACTGTTTTAGCACAAATCTCCGCAGTAATGCCTGAGTTAAGGGCAACGGAGAACACTATTGATAAACTGTTCATCTTGTTTAACGTGTTAGATGATGTTTTCAGTTCTTCTTTAACTGCTTAATTATGAATTGTACTGTATATATAGATATTTAAACATAATTACTTGGAATGCGAACGGATTGTATCGTAAAATCAATGAACTCAGGGAGTTTGTAAATGAGCACGCCCCCGACTTACTTTTCCTACAGGAACACAAGCTTGACCCAAAAATACCAATTAATGTTGCGAATTATAGCACCTACAGATCTAATAGAAGTGCCAATGCTTTACGACCAAGAGGAGGAGGAACAGCGCTCCTTATCAAACGCTGCATCCCCCATAATCATGTAACAATACCACAGCTTTCGGTCGTTGAGGCCACAGCTATCTGCATCACAACAGACACTAACATAACATACACGTTTGTTTCCACCTATATACCACCAATGAAACCAGTGGCTGCTGTTCAGGCAGACCTTGAGACGTTACTGACACTTGGAACACATATTGTCATAGGTGGAGACTTAAATGCACGACACCGCGCGTGGAACTGTTAACACCTCAAATGCTACAGGCAAATTAATTTACAGTTTAGCCGGTTCGGCTCGATTTAATATAGCAGTTCCAAAAACCCCAACACGGTATGCTGCTGGGTCAGCTGCAATAATTGACTTCTTCCTGCTCAGAAACACCAGCAGTCCGCTGGATGTTTCTGTGCTGGATGAATTGTCATCTGATCATAATCCGGTCAGAATTATTCTGGACCTCAGCAGTTTTACTACAACAGACAGAAGAGCCTTTCGCACCGACTGGCAAATTTTTGCCAAAGCTCTAACCAACATTCAGTACACGATTCCAACGATACATTCGGGGGATGACATTGATAGTTTGGTTAAGGAATTCACCTGCCAAGTTCAATCTGCTTATGAGAAAGCAAGGATAGAGGTTAAACCTGAGAAAGCCTTCAAACCATTAGAGTTACGTCTATTGTTAAAACAAAGGAATGCAGCCAGAAGGCAATACCAGAGAACAAGGCACCCACAAGACAAACGGCACTTCAACCAACTGTGTGAGGCAGTCAAGTCTCTTACAAACAAACTTGCACAAGATCGCTGGACCAGCTACCTGGGATCATTTTCCTGTGAGGATAGCTCATTATGGAAAGCTGTGAAAAGGTATAAAAATGCTACAAGTCCATTCCGCCCCTTAACGGGCCTCAAGGGATCCACTACACTGGAGCTGAGAAGGCAGAACTTTTAGCGCAGCATCTGGAATCTCAGTTCTGTATGAACAACATTTCAGACAACAACACAGATCAGCTTATTGCTGACTTTCATCACAATTACACAACAAGCCCATACACCGACAACATAATCTTAGTCATGCCGTCGGAGGTCTGCAGTTACATCAAAAGGCTGAGAAGGAAAAAAAGAGCCCTGGGTTGGATGGTATTTCCAATCAGATGATCAAGAATTTTCCACCAAAGACCATATGTTATTTCACCAAGCTGGCTAACTGCATCTTACAGTGGCAACACTTTCCGGCATGTTGGAAAACTGCTCAAATTACGCCAATACTGAAACCTCACAAACCAGCCACTGCACCTGAGTCCTATCGTCCCCATCAGCCTCCTGAGCTCTGTCAGTAAACTAATGGAGGCAATAATACTGAGCAGATTGAATAAATATCTGGAGGAGCATAAGGTCATCATTCCATACCAATTCGGTTTTCGTCAGAAGCACTCAACCACCCACCAGCTTTATAGAGTTGTGGAGATGATCAGTGATGGCTTACAAAGAAGCAGAGTGACTGGAGGTCTGTTTCTAGACATTGCTAAGGCCTTCGACCGTGTGTGGCTAGATGCCCTCACATACAAGTTACACAACCTGGGGTTACCAGGCTACATCACTAACACGATCAAATCCTACCTAACAGGTAGACACTTTGTCGTTCACGTTTCTGGCACATTATCCACCAGCCGCCCTATAAGGGCTGGCGTACCACAAGGGTCCCTTTTGGGCCCCACTCTATTCAACATTTATGTGAACGACATACCCACTACACCCAACACGACACTCGCAATGTATGCAGACGACACTGCGATCCTTACACAAAGCGCATTTGTTGGTTCAGCTATACAACACTTACAAGAACACATCCAGGCATTAGAGGCTTGGCTTGTCAAGTGGAGAATTAAGGTTAATGTTGAAAAAACATATGCTATATTGTTTACAACAAAAAAGAAATTTCCAGTCTGCCTGCAGATGTATGGAGAAAGCATCCCCTGGGTCAAGCAGGTCCCTTATCTTGGGGTGATCCTCACTAAATCTCTTACATGGAACCCACACATTACAAATATTATCAAGAAGTTTCGAGCTAGTAAAGCTTCACTCTTCCCCTTAATTGCTCGAAACAGCGTTCTATCTATAGATAACAAGTTGCTCATTTACAAATCTATGTTACGCCCCATTCTGAGTTATGCCTGCCCGGTATGGGCATACTCTTGTAAATCACTTAGAAAAAGACTGCAAGCAGCCCAGAATGGGGCAATTAGACAAATTTGCAATGCCCCCTGGTATGTTAGGAATAGACAGCTCCACAAGGAGCTAAAACTTGAGGAACTCAAGGATTATTACAGCCGCCTATCGCGGAATTTTTATGACAAGCAGGAGGCTATTGACAATCCTGCGATAACTAAGTATAACTATGATGTAAATAATCCTATGAATATTAAGCGCCCGCGGGCCATTATGTGTGTTAACCTACCTTAATTTCTGTGTGTAATGACTGATTATTATTATACATATATAATCTACAAATTTCTGTACTGTTATTGTATTATATATTATTTTTTAGTATCATGCATGTTGTCAGTTTAGCGGCACCAAAGTAGCGCACTTACCTCTTTTGTTTTGCCATGTTTGTCTATGTTCTCTTTCCAGCTCTACCACTCGACAGCTTCTGTGCTTGACTGGCTTTCTATCCAGATTATTGCTTTAAGTTACCGTTAGGAGATATGCTGTTAAAAAATTATGTACCATTACCTGATAATTATGTATATCCACAACATTTTAAGATATGTTCGTTAATGCATTCAGTTATAATTCACATATATTCGAAACTATACTATAATTTGTTCGATGAGGGGTAGGGTTAGTAATACCCAGGTACCCTGGTGTCTGGCACCACTTTAGATATGTATAGAAAGAGTCCGTTTCTTTCTAGGAACTTTGGATGCGAATAGCTCAAGGGGCTAATCGCACCCATGCGTGGTTAATGTTGGTGCGTATAGCACTAGCGTCTACATCCCAAAACGGCAGTCTACGAGAGAGGCGATTCTAGTATTTTCATCGGGGAGTAGGGAAGGTCTTGTGCATGCGCTCTTATCAAAAAGTGAATACAGTGAAGTAAATACGGGGATATTTTCGCTGTTACTTTTACGATCGCTGTGTAAAAACATTTAACACAACGGCCAAAGAACATACATATTCTTTGCAATGGCCCTTTTCAGGGCCAAACTAAAATGGCCGTTCTCAGAACCAGTGAATCCGATTGTTTGTGAAAGAGTGTCAAACAACGTTTGAACGAACGAAAACGTTTATATTCTCATATGCGAAACGTGCATTCTGAAGATCCTGATCTGATATGTAATGAGCTCTGTGGTATATGTAATAGAAAGTTCCGGACTATATCGAACCTACATGATCATTTATTAGAGCAACATAGTATTTCGTTGAAATTCTTGGAATTCACAACTCACTCACTTCCGTGAATTATTGGCATTCACGAAGAATTTATTGAGTGGATTAAAAAAATTGAAAAAGAAAATCAGTCGTCGTTCGTGCTCAAGAGTTCTTCAGAAAAAAGAAAAAGAAAATGGCGTCAAGCTGTCTTATTATAGCTGCCATCGAAATTGAATTTATAACTCAAAAGAGAATAGAATGCGACACTTAAAAGCAAGAGGCTCTGTAAAATCTTGTTGTACCTGTCCTGCTATTATTAATGTATCGGCACAAACTGTTAATGAAACAACTGAAATAAAAGTTCTGTATCAGTCAGTACATGTTGGCCATGAACTGGAAGTAGGTAAGCTTCCTCTGTCTAAAGAAGAAAAAAACTAATCTTGCTTCCTCTCTTAATCTCGGGATACCTATGTCGAAGATTTTGGATGAAACAAGACAGAAATATTCTCCAACGAAACTATGCGGCCTTCACTACTCGGAAGGATCTTCATAACATTAGGAAAGAATTCAGAATTGAGAAAAATGTAATGTTGCATGAAGATGATACCACATCTGTTAATTTAACTGTAAAAAAATTACAAGACAGTGAGTACAATCCAGTACTCATTTATAAACAGGTTGGAAAAGTATTGGAAGACTTTTCAGCCATCCAAAAAGAGGAATTTTTACTAGGATTCATGAATGAACCTCAGCAAATATTATTGGAACTATACGGTTCCGAATGTATAATGATTGACTCAACTCATGGGACAAATCAGTATGGGTTTCAACTCACTACTGTTATGGTGCATGATGAAAATTATGAAGGTTTGCCTATTGCAATACGTTTTTCAACAAGGACTGCCACTGATAGATTTATACCTTTTTTAGTGCAATTAAGAAAAGATTTCAAAACATGAAAACTAAAGTTTTCATGAGTGATGACACAAATTCTTACTACAATGCCTGGCAAGCCGTTTTTGAGGATAGCAGCATACATCTGCTTTGCACGTGGCACATAAACAAAAATTGGAACTTTCAAATAAATTCCAAAGTAAAAGATAAAGCTAATAAAGACAGTATCAAAATTGAATTAAAGAAAATACTAAGTGAAGTAGATTTAGTAACTTTTGAGAGACTGATGAGCAATTTTATTTGTACTTTTGAAGATAAGGAAAAGAGTTTCATTGAGTATTTTAAAACAAATTATGAAAAAAGGACTGAAAAATGGGCTTATTGTCATCGAGCAGGATTAGGCATCAATACAAACATGAAAAGTAGAACGTTGGCATCGCCAGTTAAAATATGAGGAGGCTGGTGGTACCATTATTAAAAGACTGGACAAGTCTTTAGCAATTATTACAAATGCCATTGCTAAAACGTTGCTATCTAGGATGATCTCTATGGAAAGAGGCAAGTTAACACCACGAATCATCTTAATACGTAAGAGACATAAAAACAGCCTAGAGATGGAAAACGAATATGATTTTCTTGATATAGGCAACAAGTGTACAGTTACAAAAGCTGTGCATTTTACTTTTTATACTTACGAAGTGGAAAAATCAATCCAAAGCTGCAATTGCCCAATTAAATGCGATGAGTGTCATATATGCATTCATTCAATGTCATGTACATGTGTTGACTTTAGTATTAGATTTGTGATTTGCAAACACATTCATTATGTTTGCACAAAATTGAAACAAGTTTCTTCTGTCGAAAACTTGCTGGAACCATCTGACGATGTAGCGACTCTTTACGGACAGCCTAGTGATGACAATCTCATTATTGAAATGAATGAAAATAAAGAGAGAAATCAGATTGAAAAAAATATTATAGTTCCTTACCTAATTCATTCCATTGAAATTATTGGAAAAAGCATTCCATTGAAACTAAAAAAAAAACAAAGAAAGTTCATTAATAAGAAAAGTTGAAAGTAAATTTTTTAACCTGAAAGCCAAACTTCTATTACCTATGAACTGTTTTTAAGAATGTGTAGGCTTTTGTCAAAAACCTTTTGAATGATTCCTATCATAATGAATTTTTGCAACAGTTAATGTAACTGTTTAAATAATTATAGTATATTTTTCTTTAAGATTGATGATTAGAGTTACTGAGACATGCTATTTAAACTTTTGTAATAATAATTTTTTTTTCCTGTTTATAAAAGCTTTTAATGCAGATAGTATGTATCTGATTTTAAACTGATGGTTAAAATTTAGCGATTTAAATCAGGATTTTAATTACGTGATTTAAAAAAAATCATTCACTACACTGAAGTATCAATAGCGTATTTAAATATAATATATATATATATATAAGTTAATATCTTATTTTAATGCCTTTTAAGAAATTTTATGATCATGTATTAAAAAGATACTATATAAAAAAATCACTGTTTTCAAAAAGGCTTTTAAAAGTAATAACATTATTACGATAGTTATTGAATATTTCATTAAATCATGTTCTGATATCAAGAATAATAATTAGGAAAATGATTAGGATGACAAAAACAAATCTTCATTTCATGAAATTTGAATATAAAATATATTAATTTCAATTAAAAATACTTTTTTGTAAAATTTCCATTAATTTCACTGCTATTTCATTTATTTTATAAATCATTATTTTCATGGTTTCATTTCAATGAAAAAACTCAGATTTAAATCAGCAATATTTAGTTTTTATTTAAAAAATATTTTTAGCACTCTGACTACAAACTTGACTTTTATTTTAGTAACTAACTGTTTTAAAATAATTAGAATAATAGTCATAGCTCTTTTCTCTGTTTCAAATAAACTGGAAATTAATTAAATTATGGAATCATTTTTTTCTTTAAATAAATAATTAATATTAAAGTTTTGTTATAGTTGATAACATTTATTTTTTCTCCAACTATAAATTTTCCAGTAATCAGCAGTTTATTTTTCAAATAAGTGTTCCTTACATGAAGACTCGCAAAGGGTTTTTGTCAGAAATTTCGATGATGTTTCTTGACACTATTTTTTTATCTTAATTTTTGGTATTGTAATTCGAACTAATTAATCTGCATTTTGAAATAGGTTTGTGAGATTTTTGTTTTCATAGTTTTCCCACCATACATTTTTATTTTTACTGTCTTAAACTGTGCTTGATTGTTAGTTTAATATTGGATTCATGCAGTCTTTAAAAGTCCGTAGGTTTTTTGGAAATGATTTTTGGTCCTTAAAAGTCATTAATTTAGTCTAAAATGAGTGTGAAAGGTTCTTAATTTTATTCCTCTGACATTTTTTTTAATGACTGCCATTTTGAGTTTCAATTAACATTTAGGAGGAATATTTTTGCAATGCATTGACAAATATATATTTGATGAGTTAACATTTGAATGCTTTTGACATTATCTAGTGCTAAATTTGGCGATTTTAAGATCAATCAGTTTGTGTGGAAATTTTTTTTGGAGATTTGCAAAATTTTGACAGTTTTTCGATCAAATTAACATTAATAATATATTAAAATTATATTTAAGAAATAACATTAAAATAAAACATTGTTATTTTCTCCTGCCATAATTTTAAAGTGACAGTACATTTCATTTTGGTAACTTTGGAATATTTTAACTCTGAAAAATAAGATAATAAATGCTATAAAGCACAAGTTTTCGAAACACTTCTTAGGATAAATAAAAATGCTACTGTAATTATTTAAAAATTAATTTCATTTGTATTCTTTTATATCTTTTCATAATAAGAGTTTTTTCCCGTGTAATTGTTTCAGATGTATATCAGTTTTCTCTTGAAAATTCATTTTACACTTTTCAGATTTTTTGTTTTTCATAAATTCTTCTGGATTTTTTCTGTTACAAGGGTGGTTAGTAATAATTTTTCTTGATTTTAGACCTTTCACCTCAGAAGGTTTAAAAACAACATTTATACACCTACAGTTTTCAGAAAATGTGATGAAATGAAAAGTTTCTAGCACATAATGGATGTGTTTTGTAGGAAATTTGTGATTAATTTCTCATCTTTTGGAGAATTTTTAGAAGAGTGAAAACAAAATTAGGTGAATATTTTCCTTTTGATCCCAGAAGTCTTTCACGTTAGACATAAGCATTGAAGAAAGCAAAGAAATTTAAAACTGACAATTTAAGATTCATCATATATGTCTTAGTGCACCATATATACCTCAGTTCCTGCCCTAAATTCTAACATTATCCCTAAATTTTATTGCTCAGTGCTTCACTAAATTTAAAAATTCTGCCACTCTGGTTGCTGCACCAGTTTTGACCTAATATAATTTCATATTTATTTTCATTATTCATATTGTTAAAGAAACAAATTAATTTCTTCTATACATTCTGAGTACAAGCAGTTCTGTAGAATAACAAAAATCTTTAATTAATTCTGAAATGGAAATAAAATTCATTGAAAATGAAATTGATGTTACAAAGAGAGAAAAATTTATTCTTCGCAGGTAAGATATTTAAACATTAACTGATTAGGAGACAAAGCAAAGACTAGTGAGAACCTTGATTTGTTTATTGAAACAAATAAAGAGAAGGAACTGATGTAAATTAAAAATATCTGGAAAATATAAAAATATCTGGAAAATATTGGATTCATGCAGTCTTTAAAAGTCCGTAGGTTTTTTGGAAATGATTTTTGGTCCTTAAAAGTCCTTAATTTAAGAAGACACATAAACATTTTGTTATTTGTTGTTGCTACAAGACATAAATGTTTTGCAGATTTTAATGTAATTGATTATTTATATTTCAATTAATTAATGATTTTAATAATTAATAATACTAGTATCATTTTAAAATCAATATCATAAATTATAACTTGTTAAATTTTCTTGATGCTTTTTTAGTGGATATGTTTTAGAAGTTAAAAAAGAGAATTGTAACCATATAAGGTATTTCTCGAAACCTTCGTGGTGTAGGGCAGTGGTGCGCAAACTAGGGGTCGCCAGAAGTTATTTGGGGGTCACCAAATTTTTATGAAATGCATTATGCCTGCATGCTGCATACCATACAGTGTACATATAAAGAGTGAAGCGACGTCACTCACTGTTTAATTGCAATTTCATGCTGTCCGCTCTTTCTTTGACCGTAATGCGTAATGTATGTAAAGGCCCGTCCACACGAGTACGCTCGAAACGTAGCTGACGAACGCGCTTTTACGTTACCAGCGTAAAAGCGTCCAAACGAGTACGCTTGCGAAGAGTGCGTTTAACCAATAGAATTATTTTGCGCAAAAATCACGTGATGCTGTAATATAGCGTCAACAGAGCTGTATCTTATTACTTCGCTGTTCTTCTGTATGTTTTGCGGCAAGTTGTTCGAATCAGATGATTTTTTTTATAGCTGAAACTTTACTATTATGTGCAATTATTAAGCAGAGGCAAAACCGCAAAAAATGGCAAGAATGAATCCGAAAGATTTATTTAGAGCGACCTGTTCAAAGAGATTTTTTTTTTTAGTGCCTTGTTTGCGAAAGGAATATCTGGAATTATTAAATTCCTACTATTTGTTCACACTCTCCCTATATCCTGTTCAAATTTTCAGTACATAAAATGCTTTTAATTCATCCACTCAAGTTCAAATACAATTTTTTAAACTTGCAGTGAATGACACTTGATGTTAATACAGCTTTTTCACATATTAATTTTTTTTTTAATTTTCAATTAAAAAAATTATGTTTGTATTTTTATTTATTTATTTATTTATTTTGCATTTTTAAACTTTTCTTTGTGGACCTAAGTAGGAATTGACTTAATTTTTTTTTGGGGGGGGGGGTATATTACTTGGTTTTTTAATTCCTTCAGGATGGTATCGACCAGTTTGACAGACTTGCAGATTCTATATCGTATGAAAATTAGGATTTATAAAATTGGTTTGGAATACAGTATATAAAGAGAGTTAAAAATACTTAATTCCTTTATATACACCATCCACCATATAATAAAACCAACTTCATATTTTTTTAACTCGCTCTCCCTTGGTCTTTTGTTTTTCTTTTTATTTTATTTTTGAATTTAGAATGAGGTTCAAACTTTGGACAGTTAAGAGAAATTATGTGCATGATAAAATATGCAATAAAGTAAAAATAAAGAGAGAATTTATAGGGATATATGATAAAGAAATGCAGCAGATATATTTTTTACGTAAGGATTTCTATTTGCATTGCACATTTTTAAACTAAATTAAAAACAATAATAATAATAATGAATAAAATAAGAAATGAAAACAATAATAATAGATAAAATAAGAATATAATGATTCATGATTAAATATAAGAAACACGTTTCAAAATGAGAAAAGATAATTGAATTATACCGTCTACGGCTGAGTTCGAACTTGCCACCTTTCCATTCCTCCGCTACCAAAGCAGCGCGCTGACCCCTCAGCTATCTGTGATAGCTCCGTGGTTTGTGACACGGAGTATAAACACGTGTCTGTGTACTCCGTGGTTTGTGAAAAATAATGTAACAAGTAGAAGTCGCTGCAAAGGTAATTTAATTAAACTTCAATAAATGATTGCTGTATGACACAAGTTGTAACTTTCCTCCAAAATTTCGTAATTGTATTTATTGTATACTCTTTCACAGTCAACTGCTTTATTTTAGAAGTTATTATATTGCTGAAGTTAGTTTTTGGTGTATTTAAATATTGGGATATTTATAGAGCTTTTTATTGCACATGATATAGCCAATATATTCTCCTTAATTATTATAAATAATAATTAAGGAGAATTTTGTAAGGCAGAACTTTGATTTCGTAGAAACTGTAATTTATTTAGGTTCCTATTACTTACGGTATTATAAATAGGTGAAGCATATGGATATACTGGTCGGATCATTGCTTTATAAGAATACAGTTTTCCCCTTTAATGAGAATTTTAAATGTATACTAATATGTACGGTTTGAGAAATCTGAAAATGGCGTGAACAATGCTGATTATTTTATTGCTGTATACAGTTATATTTCTAAGCAAAAACTCATCTCTGTGTGGCTCTGACGCCATATTGAAACGGGTAAGCAAGAAGGTTTTCTGATTATGACACGTGATAAGAACTCGGTCGGCTATTGGCTATACGCGCGCGTCGCGGGCGAAAAAGCTGAACAGGAGCGTACTCAGTTTTACGTCTTCTGCGTCCTGCGAATTTATGCCGGCGTCAAAAAAGTTACGTCAACTACGTCGGGAGAGTCCTCGTGTGGACGGGCCTTAAAGTATGAAGACGCAAGGTTTTCACTCCGGTAGATAGCGCCCTCTTCGCGGTAATTCGCCATGTTTACTGAAAAGCGCCTATTTGACTAAACCAGTGGTCGGCAAAGTGCGGCTCTGGTACAAATATCCACGGAAAGCGCAATAATATTTTCATTTAAAAAAAACTTGGTAAGAAAAAATTACATCTTGTTTTGATAAATTAAAATTTTTCTATAAATCGAGAACATGTATAATTTTTTGTTTGAGTAAAAAGATAGATAGGTAATTAAAATTTTATATTATTCTAAAAATACTTAATGAACAACGAGTTTAATTTTATTAGTTTTCGTAAACGTAAACATAAATCATGTACAAGCTCCCGGCATGCGTGTGCATGCGTTTTAATAGTGAAGGTATAAATTGGCATCACAGAGCAGCAGTTGCAGTGTGAACAGTTTAGTCTTATCTACCATGTCTACCGTTGTCCTATCTTATTAAAAAGTTGTATTTTTTAATCTAGCTGCACATCTTACAGGTATTTTTACACGATTTTATTACACCTATGTATGTTTCTGGTTTCGGTACAAAATTTGTAATCGATTTTTCGATAACTTCTATTTGTCCAAATGTTGGAAATTTGCTTCCATTTTTGGTCATATTAAGTTTTGTTATTCTGATGATGGAAAAAATTATTTTTTTTCTTTTTAATGCAGTTACATATATAATAAAATTGTATTTTTTAAAAAGATTTTTTTAATTTTATTTTTATCATTTAATAATGATAATAATTTTGTACTGTTGGCTTTAGAAAAAAATATATTTGGAATATTTTTATAGGCACCCCAATTAACATGGCTACCAAAAAAAGCAAAGAAAAACGGAAGATGAAAACCGCGAATTTAAAGTTGAGTGGACCGAGAATTTTGCGTTTATTCAAAACTTGAATGGACTTTCGACATGTCTTATTTGTAAGGAGAAATTCGCGCATAACAAGAAGTCAAATTTAGAGAGAAACTTTACAAGAAAGCGAGTGTCATTTAGCACTAAATATCCTAACGGTGATGCAAGGAAGAAAGCAGTTGAGGAACTTCAGAAGAGTCAAGAGTCGTCAACTTCTGTGTTTAATAACTGGATGCAATCTTTCAGCAATATTAATATGGCAAGTTTTGTTTATAGCCAAGAGATTGCTAAGAGAGGAAAACCGTACACAGACGGCGAATGCATAAAATTGTTTTATAAATGCACCCGAGAGCTACTTCGGGATTTTAACACAAGAAGCTATTCTGAAAGAATTAAAGAGTTACCATTGTCTGCCAAAAACCATTAAAGAGAGAACAATTAAAATGTGTTCGAATATAACCACCCAAGCATATCAAGATCTGAAATTGGTTTCGGCTTTATCAATAGCAGTTGACGAGCCTTTGTGACATAATGATACAGCGCAAGTACTTTTTGCAAGATTATGTCTCATTCAGACCCTAAGAAGAACTTAGGATTATTGCACTCAAGGTCAGACGCGTGGAGAAGATATCGCCAATGCTGTAACTGAGTGTATGGATAAAAATCATATTTCCCTCGATAAAATTGTGTCGATTTCAACAGAGGGGCCAAAAGTATAACCGGCGTAAGAAAAGGGGTTGTTGTTTTATTTTGAAAGAAAATTAATCACACGGATACTTGTTACAATTGTATCATTCAACAAGAAGCGCTTTGCGCGCAAACATTTCGAAAAGAAATTTGTAAAGTTATGGATTAGTGATTACATTATGAACCCATTTTAGCTAAGCTCTGAATCATCGCCAATTCAAAGAATTTTTTATTTGAAATGGAGAGTGAGTACGCTGATCTTCTGCTTCGAACAAAGGTACGTTGGTTATAAGAGGGAACGTTTTAAAACGTTTCTCGTCCTTTTTCCGGAAATTAAAGATTTCTCCTTGAGAAGGGCGTTCATATCCAGAATTAACAGACGATCAGGGATCAAACTTTTATTTCATGGTAGACATACGCCTCATCTAAATCAGCTTAATCGTAAAACTACAAGGGAAGAAAACTAATTTTTTCGATGTTAGAAGAAGTAATAACTTCGAAAACAAATTATTCATTTTTGCACAGGATTTTGAAAGGGAAACATGTTTACTTTCCGAGCCTGCTGAAGCACCGCCAAGAAAATAACTCCTCTATTGATAAACACCATTTTAAAACATATTTTAAATATGAGGGAAGCATTTCCCAGCAGGTTTCAGAAAACTAAAAAACAGCAGAGCAACTTTAGCATTTGTCAAAATCCTCTTAATGCTACGATAAACGAGATGAAATTTTCTTTTGAAATGACATTGGTAGCTTGAAATTCAATTACTGGATTTATAAACAAGGAGATATGGCGCTCTAAATTCAAACGTCTTTGTCTTGAATTGGAAATATTGTAGAAAAAAAATATGATCTAAGTTCACAACACAAGTGGTCTGCTTTGAATGACCTGGAGAAGGAGACATGATCATTTTCAAAGCTTGGAATAGTATTCCTGACTCTTACGATCAGCTGAAAAAGCTCGCGTTTGCTGTTCTTTCCCTTTTCCGTTCTGCATGTATATGCGAACAATCTTTTTCAATCATGAAGATTATCAAGAGTAAACTGAGAAGTCGTCTTATTGATGAGAACTTGGAATCATGCCTAAAATTAAGAACAACAACATACAAACCTGAGTTACTCAAACTTTCCAAGGAGATGCAAGCACATTGTTCGCACTAATAAATATTTATTAAGTATTAAATTTAGTTTTATTTAATGTAATAAAAGTTTACTAAACAAACAGATTTGGCTCCCAATTTTTTTAAACTGTTGTAATTTTCATGTTTGGCTCTTTGGCTCATAAGTTTGCCGACCACGGGACTAGACATTAACCTCAGGGAAAGGGGAAAAATTCGCTTCTGTGATCAGCCAATCAGATGGCGAGGTACGCGGTGTATCTGATTGTCAGAGTGAAGACGTGAAATGTTCGATGAAGTTGTAGCATGTAGCAGTTGGGCTGCAATTGTTTTAGTTATCCTCGAGTTTTATCATGTAACGTTGTGTAATTATGATTTTTGATTTTTATCGGGCTTTTATTATTTTTATATTTTATCGTTGTTATCAGTATTGTACTATCATAGAGAAGGATCTCTGTAATTTTATGAATTTCTCGAAAAAAATGATAAATTTTATATATTATTGTTTAGTTTAAATAATTTAACCCCTATCTTCATAATGGATAAATGGGTAATACGTACACCAGGTACATCTTCAGCTAACAAACCAACAAATACTGATGAGGAGTCGCAAAATACTGAACTAATGCCCCGATCTAAAAAAATAAGAAAATACAATGAGGAATTTATTAAGTATGGTTTTACATTTTGTTGTGTTGATGATGAAGACGCCCGATATGTGTCATTGCAACGAAAAATTAGCAAATGAGAGCAGGAAACCAGCTAATTAAAAGGACTGGAAACTAAAGAACTTCAAAAATAAACATCCGATTTTTTCAAAGACGAGCTAAAAAATCTGAAATTCAAAGTGCACATT